CACGCACACAGACACACAGACACACAGACACAGACACAGACACACAAACACACAGCGACACGCATATGCATTTGAACCTTCCATTCAGCCGCGGCGCTGGGCCAAGGCAGCTTCAAATTGGCAGAGGTCCATCTCAACTGCGTCGGGGGGCAGAACCTGACGTGGCTTAAAGGTTGGGGACGGTGCGAAGGTGGGGATGTTGTCTTTCCTGGACTCTAGAGGTCAACACCCGTCAAGGAACCTCACTCAACACCTGTATCGGGGTGGCTCCTTTTGCAAACCTCTTGCTTGGACACTTTGCCCGAGCATCGTCGGGAGATTGGGAAGAGCTATGCGAAGGCTCACAGTCACAGGCTACAAAGGAGGCGGGGTACTGGACGCTTCCCTTGGGCTGTTGCTGTTGTAACCTGGAAATGAATTGTCAACTTCTGGGAACCCTAAATGGGTCAACGGAGAGTGGGAAAACAGGAGCCGTGAGGCCCTGAGGTTTCTGTTTTGATTGATGAGCCTTTGGGAGATGACAGGATCCTAATGGAACCCAACAAACACGGGAGCCAAGAAGGCGCTTGTGGAGCACACATCATCATCGGACACGCGAAACTTCGCAATCTGATTCATCATCTCCTTAAAAACATTTCGTTCTTTCTATCCATCCGTCACTCGATCCGCCATGTGCCATTTCTTTCCGCCTTTTCCGTCAAAACCGGAGCCCCTAGCTATCCACCTATCCTGCCGCCAGGTTGCACAATTAACGGAACAAATTGAGAACCGAGCCCAGCAAGAAGCAAAATCAGAAAACGCGCGGCAAACTGTGGGATTCCAAAAGCTGAAGTTCGAATCGGGTCCCAAAGTATGACCGCGAGCTGCAGATATCCCCGCATCGGTGAAACTGGAGATATCACCGGATCGGTGAGCTCAACACAAATGCGGCAGGAAAAAAGCAGCTCCTCACGCAACAACCGGCAGTGTTTGCCATTCGACCGCCTCTTTAGACTGGAGAAATTCTGGGGACCCTCGGGACCCTTTGACCTCTCTCAAGGCAGGCCAAAGGCGAGCCCTCGTTGCCTCAAGCTACGTGCCCATCTCTTTGCTTCCTTTCTAGAAAAACGCAAGCCCAGCAGCGAGGGAAGCAACCAGCCTTTGCCCCAAATATGACATTTTCGGATTCTGACCCACTCCGCTCAATCGTTGACACTAAAGCCCTGAAAGGAGGGACCTTTTCCCCCCGAATCAATGAGTCCGTAGGCAGCAATGATGTGGCTGTGTCTTTTCATGCGGGTGTTCCTGTCGGTTTCAAAAGGCACGTGAAGAAAGCAAAAAAAAAACATTCCCTAGGTAGCCCTATCTTGAAACACCCCGCAAGTCACTTTTTGAGGTCCCAGCCAAGCGCGGCTGGAAAGAACCAGGCCTCCCAAAAGACCTTTGCAGCCTCCAAGCTGGTGAAGGTCTCGGTGAGGAGGAAGCACTGCTTGCAAAGCTTGGTGAAACCTCGAGCGCGAATGGGATGCAGGGATCCACCATGGATCAGCCTTGAGATTTATACATGTCGATCTGCAACTCGCGAAGCAATGATTAGGAATCGAACAAGCCGAGGGGGCAAATTTGGGCGAACGCTTTTGTGCATGGCGAAACCTGGCAAGATCCTCGCTCGCACAGGTCACGCGCCTGCATTCGTCGGGAAGCGGGGCTTGCAAATGCAACACGTTCTGCCCAAGGAGCCGCACGAAGAGAGCTTGGAACTGGTCCCGCAAAAGCCGTGGAACGTTGCAGCAAAGAGGCAACGGTCGGCCTGAAGCAGAGAGAGTGAGGCCCGGCGCCGTCGAGCTAGCGACTGGAAATTCGGGAAAGAACTTGTTTGAGCCCGTTTTGGGTTGGTTTTGCAGGGGAACCAAAGGGAAAACCAGGGGCACAACGTCCCCGTACCTATCACTTGGTTCTCTCCTCAAGATTTGCAAATGAAAACACAAAGTGTGTCTTGGCATCAACTCCTGAATGCAAATGACAGGCCGGCCTCACCCCACGACGATTAAGCTGCCACAGATGCGTCCCAACAGTTGGCAAAATAAGCGGCTTTCCTTTCGGCGTCCATCTAAAAGCAGCAAAACAAAACCCTCCGCCCACCAACATGGAACACGCCAGGTCAGGGGTACCTCAACAAGACGCGGCCTGGAGGTCAAGCGCCTTCACTGCGCATCGTGCCGAGCAAACGGGGACATCGACTGCGCCTGTCGCGACTGCGCCGGTGACTGTGACATTCGGATGCTCGGGCCCGTCTCGACCTGGCTTGCGCCGGCGTCCATTGGATGCGTCGTCCCACTTGTTTTTGAGTTCCTTCCTTTTTTTTGGGGGCAGCGGTTCTTTGTGGAAGCTGTCTTTAAAAAAAGGCACACCCAATTACCAAACCCAGGTCAGATTGAAAGGTTGGCCAAAAAAGAACAGCTGGCCCCAAGCTGAACCAACCCAACTGTTTCAACGGCTTGAAGACCTATGATACAAATCGGCCTGAGACCTTCGCCATGGTCTGTCAAGTCGCAACGCAGGAGCGACTTCCAAACTTCCAAACTGACAACACACCTTCAATCCGAGAAAGAAATCAAAACCCCAACACGTGCCTCCTGAGGCCTGTGTTTCACTTTTTCCGCTCGGCGCATCCACGGGCCTCGGCCTTCTCGGCCCTGGCCCTGGATGGCGACACCACGCCCGCCACCGCCGCGGTGGGCGGCAGCTCGGGGCTCTGGGAGCGCCGCGGCTTCGCCTCGAGATCAGCCAAATGGCTCATCGGTTTCACCCCCCCCTCCCCGAAATGGGTTCTCTTTTGGACCCGCCACCCCCCAAAATATATCCAATATTCCTTGCTCCAAAAATTGCCTTCCGCCTCGCCCTTCCGCGAACTTCCGCGATGGAGGTAAAACCACAAGTTCTGTCTGAACATAAGTAAGTTTCCGTAAAGCAAAAGTAAAGCAAGCCAAGAGGAAGAGCTAGTGCAGAAAGCAAGAAGTAGACTAGGAATGGAGCGAGGATGGGACGAAGAGCAGAACGAGCAAAAGGAGAAGGACAAGCAAGCGTAGGAAGCGGAGCAGCAGAACACCGGAGAAAGAAAAGGAAGGGGGAACGTGGCAACAAGCGACAAGCTACGCGACGTAAAGAGACACGCCACCCCCCGCACACGGCGACAGCCACAGTTGCGGGGGCTTCGTTTTGGTATCGTTTTGGGTATGGCACCAGCACGCTGCTACAATTGCGGCGTCCCCGGGCGAGAGAATGAGCAGCAAGCAGCACTGGGAAATAGACACAAGAGACATTTCACGCTAAAACAAGAGACGGGTGGGCCAGTCCCGGCGCACGCCAGGCGACAGCTGCAATTGTATGGGTTTCGTTTTGGCATCGTTTTGGGTATCGTTTGGAGCTCCGAATGTAATGCCGGAACGAAAAACAAATTTCGGACCGCGAATTTTGTTTTTCGCGCTTTTCTACAAACTCTGCCGCGGGAATCAGAAGGACCGCCGAATATGATGCCAGACTCGGTTGCTGTTGCTCAGTTGGCCCCAGGCACTCCGCGGTATCGTTTCGGAATTGCGCAGGTATCGCTCGGGGTATCGTTTTCATCTCAGTACAAATCAACACATGAAGCACACATTGACTTTGAGAAACATCGCAGCTTTTAAGCCAGCACAAGCTGTCCCAGCTCAAGCAGCACAACTTTTCAGTACTCGTGTAGTACAAGAGTAAAGCTTCATCCCATGATAACACATAACCTTCCGCGAAACTTCCGCGCGGTCTTCCGCGGTCTTCCACGACCACAGCGCCGTAGCACCGAATATGCTTTCGTCTTCAGTCCTTACAAAATTCCACGGGGGGGGGGGGTTGGTCGTATATATGACCCCCAAAAAAAAAGGAGAAGAAAAAAACACGAAGCCACATTGCAAGGGAACAAGGTGGCTGGGCCTCTAGCCAGAACAAACCCTCGAACTAATCCTCGAAGCGAACCTTGTTCCCTGCTTCCTCAGCTCTTTGCAAACAACAACAACTTGCTAGGGTTTGTTTGGATTCTGACAACGATCCAAGAAAAGACAGTCAGAAGACTACCTTCTCAGGGACCAACCCTTGCCCCAGAACCGGACGAGATCTCCTTATAGGTGTTTGGTGTTGAGAGGGACCTTCTTCCAGCTGCCATTTTTTTTAATTTTTCATTTTTTTATAAAGGCCGTGGCTTGTCCATGCATGACGTGTTTCCGGGCAAATTGTGCAATGCAAGTATTGCAAGTACTCTTATTGTCTGCCACACACCCCAAAACAGCTCGCACGCCCTGCCTCCAGCCAGAAACGCTCTGCCATCACCATGTCGAGAAAGACTCTACCCTTTCAGCGATGCAACTCACACAGGCAAGTATGCCACAATCAAATCTCCGCAGAGCATGAGCATACATGTTGCACATGATGGCATGGTTGCCAGCTCTTTGCGCATTGGGCGTATGCTGCAAATCCAACTGCGACGGCGCGGGCTCAAAACCACCTGCCACTCCAAATCTTGCTTAAATCTTCCTCGGAGCTTTGGCAAGTCCGTTGCGCAATTGCCTGGCGCCCAAAATTCCACCGCAAATTGCAAATAAACACATTCTTGGGTCGCTCCCTGAAGTCTATAGACCGCTTCCGAAGTGACGTGCTTCGGACCTTCGTGGGCTTTCATGTGGGCCTTGGCACAGTCTTCATTGTCCGGACGTGGCAGCAGTCGAGTCTTTCTTGGCCTTCTGGAACAAACTAAAAATCAACAACTGAAAAACATGCTTGCCGTTAGCTTTTTACATCGGCCTCGTTTTCTCAACCGCAGATTCGGTTCTGCCATGATCCCTGCATCAGGGTAGAAATTCACCTTTGTAAATAGGTGAGGGCACCATGCTGTTTTTGTACTATCCCCCCTTTTTTGTACAGGGCATCCGCACCCCAAATTTGAGGGCCACAAGAAAACCACCCAACTTGGCAGCTCGGCCTGAGCTCCGTACGCCTAAAGCCAAAACCCGCATTGCACCTTCGCCATCCGCGACTCGATGGGACTCGAGTCAAAAAAGGCACGTTGTCGGAAAACACCGGTCGTGCCCAGGCAAGTAATGTTGTGAAACCGTGCTGTGAGCCAGACGCGCGACAATAGCTCGCACAGACAAGCGCGGTCCGAAGGGCTTCCAACTCCGCGCAGTCAACGTGTCAGCCGACGTCTGTCTACTCTTTTTTGCCTTTTCAACACTCCTTTGTCGCTCGCTTACTCCTGGTTGGGTTTCCAAAAATGCTTAAAGGCCTTCCCTTAAATGTAGCCCCGAACTGCGAAATGTTTTGGGCCTGTTTCCGTCAGTGTCGGAAAAGCTTGGATTGTGGTCGGAAGTTGGTCGGAGCGTTGGCCTATCGCGCTTCCATATTTGGGTCACGCAGTGCGTTTGTTTTTCTCACGCCTTTCGTTGCTGAAGGGCCCCCGAACACTTGCGCTTCCCCCCCTTGCAAAAGGAATGCTGTTGTTGCGGCAAGCGGGACACGTCTGGCGCGTCAAGGAACCCCGCGAGCAGGTCGCTGGCATTGCGATCGGGCCCATCAAGGTTGCTGAGGCCAGGCAACGGCAAACAAGCAGCTGCCGAAAGCAAAATCGGTGCACATAGGCGCTGCGCACAGCAGGCCGCAACACGGCAGGCGCCGCACGTGCCTTGGCCTGGGCAAGCAAGCGCAGAAAATTTGCTGCCTCGGTGCTCCAGCGGCCCCCGACCTCAACGCCGAGGACGACGAGGCGGCAACGGGCGTCGCCAACAAGTTCGGGGTATTCCTTGCGACGCCGGGCCAAGGCAATGGGCCGGTCCATTCCGCAAGGGCAAGCCGTTTGCAATGACCTCGGTGCGGCGGTCATCGAAACGAGCGACCGCCACATTCAGATCGCTTACAAGAGTGCTGCACGTGACACGGGCTCCAGCTTCTCGGCAAACACAAGCGGCGGCCCTCTAGGGTCAGATGGCGACGACACCGGCAGGTGCGCTCGGACAAAGGCAAAGGGAGGCGCAAACGCCGCAACAACAGGGCACGCAAGTGGGCAGAAGAGAACGTGAGCAAGCCAGTCTTCCCAAGATGGCGGGCTAGGGCAAACATCAGCCGCTGACAAGGGCACGCGATGTAGCGTGACAACTTTTGCTTAATTGAAAGGCTGTTTGAACAGGCAACGAACCCCTTCAACAGGCGAATTTTCAAGTGGAAACAGCAATTGAGATGCCGCCTTTGCAGGATTCGCCAAGAACGGCCCCCCAGACATGGCCCCCCAAAAACGAGCGTCTGCCAAAGATTCAGCTTCTCAGCAGGCGCGGACTACTTTGATCCATCGAGGTACGAAGTTTGACAAAGAAAGCGTCTGATTTTGAAGGCTAAGGAAACGGCATTCACTGGATTCCTGGATTCATGCCCCTCCCTCGTCCACAGCCATCCTCGCCCAGAAGATCCACTCCTGGGACAGTGATGGGCACAAAGTCCCGGACCACCGCTGCAAGTCCTGGAAAGTCGGCGGATGGCCCGGCAATGATCATTCTATAGGTCTGGGGGCACATCTGTCCAGCAAGTAAGCAAACTAACGTAAAGCTGGACCCAACACATGTGCTAAAAGGCACAGTCCTCTATGGGAACAGAAAGGAATGTATACATAGACGCAAATGTAATAGTTCCATCCACTGCTCCGTTACGGAACGGCAGCTTCAGTACGTGGAGGCTTGGTGGGTCGCCCTTGTGCATTCTTAAATCTTCATGTCACTTTGGTTCCGGCCCCAAAAAATAAAACTGCAATTGCCGTCTTGGAAGGCCAACAAATCACTAGTCCAAGCAGCCGACAGTCTCACCCCTGGCTGACCGACTAGTCGTTTTCCTTGAGGCTTTGAAGGCAGGCAAGGTACAGTCAAGTATGTACATGAGCCTCTAGCTTTCAGTGAGTAAGCGCAGACACAGTCCCACACATCCAAGTTCCCCACGACCCCAGTCAACGCCCAATGGATTAGTCAATCATCGGAGCGGGGGATGTCCCTGAGCTGGTCCTGGCTTCTCGTCCTTCTTGGCTTGCGTCTTCTGAGCGCTGCAAAGGAGCCTGGGCACTTTGGGGCCCGCTTGCCAAAATCCCTGACGGCCCGTGCAGGATGAAACACAGGCGACCCTTGAACCAGAAATACCACTCGGAAACAAGCACACAACTTCAACAACACTCCGGCAAGTTTCCGGACTCTTCCACACGAGTCCACCATCATTTCACCACACTTCCTGCAGGCCGACCTGCTCCCGCAACTCAAAGCCAAATGAAGAGACCCTGCTTGAAGCCGTGATGTTCATGTAATTATCATTTCTCCCCAAAAAAAGAAAAAAGAAAAAAAAAGAAACACACACACACACATACATTACCCAACGAAGGGTGGAATTCGAGGTCACCGCTGGTGCAGCTGTCCCACGAATAGCAGCTCTGGCTTCTTGAGCTCCAAGGGCGTGGCCGGCGCCTGGGTAAAAAGCGGCCACCCCGCAGTGTCCAGGTGGGGCATAAGAGTTCATATGTATTTATGTATACGTATTGATATGCGTGTGTATATATATATATATACGTATATGTGGGGCATGCACCGCAATGCAACGAAATGATTCAGATTGCAGCAACAACGCAACATGAAGAGCACTCAAGAGCCCTAAGCAGCACCAAAACTCCAACACGCGTTCTGACAATGATTGCCCTGCTAGCTTATCAACAATGCCCTCCAAGTTTCTTGGCGTGTTCTTTTTGGCCTACCGCATATGTTGATGCCTGACCAGAAGAACACATACATTGAAGTGAATACCAAAGCCAAGTCGCTGTCGATATGGGATGGAGCAAGCTCGTTTTTCATACCTTGAGCAATAACAAGCAACACGCAGGCAAAGCTATGACATACAACAGGGTGAGAGGCAGGAGTGTGGGAGTAGCCGAGCAGGAGGAAGCAGGCTGACATGATCATACGCGTATTGATTTTCAGCAAAGAAGTTTGTTCAAATGTTTTTGTCTTTATGTCTAAGCTGTGGGCCTCAGGCATACAGGTTGTAGCCAACATGGTCTTGGGGGCTAAGACACAAGCGGTAACCTGATACAAGGTGCGCTTTACATAAGCATCAGTGGCAATGCGGGTGTGGGCATTTCACCTCTTGGCTTCTGGCCGGTTGGGGGGGGGGAGGGGCTGTGGATGATAGTTTGAACTTGGTATTCATGTGTGAGTGCAGTAGATATTGAATTGTGAACATGCATTCAACAAGCACTGGATTCCACGTTTGGTCCATCCCCATAGTGTGTATGAACCAGTTTCAGGAGCAAACGTTGCGCAGGCAACCGTTTTGTATGACTCTTTGACAAAGCACTGCGCTGATCGTAGCCAAGTGCCGCAAAGAAACTGAAATCTCGCACCCACGGACTTACGGCCCAAATATGGGAGTGCACTTAAAGGGGGGCACACAGGGGCATCACCAGGGCTGGATCCATTTGTTCGGGAATTGTTCAATGAAGACATGGATTCAAAGCCGCGTGCTTTCTTTTGCCTTGCGTACTGAGCACTGCGCGTCTCCGACGTCTTCTCGTCTCCGAAGTCTTCTCCGCCAAGCAGGTCCTACCAGAAACTGCCGGTCGGAACGGAGGGGACGGGCCAAAGGTCAGGAAACACTCATGTCCATTCGGCGCCGGCCTCCCACATCGGCAACTCCGACCATGGGACCGTCTTGGAACATCTCACCCCATGGGTTTTGGGGCGACTTTGGCCTCCCACTGCCTGGGAGGCAAAGTTCGGGAAGCAACGCGCGCGGCCAAAGTGCCGCAATCCCAGAAGCAAGTCAAGACAGGAAAATACAGAAAATGAAAGGAGCAAAGAAAAGAAGCCAAAACATTTGAAGCGAGCCCCCTCAAAAACAGGCATGGGCCATCCATGAAACCCGGCTGGCGACAGGCCACCTAAGGTCTCCGCGTCCGCGCTCCTCGCTTGCCTCTGCGTCGGGGCCCAAACCATCTCCTTTCTTCCCCGGCGGGAGGGACCAACTCCCAACACTATGCACTCAGGAACACAGCTGGCTTCTAGCTGTATCCGGATCGGTTTTTTCGGGGCCAAATTGCCGGGGCCGAATTGCTCACAAGTAATTAGAGAACAAACACACTGACCAGCTTGCCAACTTGAGGAAAGGGCGGGGCTGGCGTCGGGCGGGACCGTTGTCTGCACCTGCGGTGCCGCAAGCGCGGGCAAATCTGTTCGAGTGTCTTAAGGTTTCTCTCTCTCTCTCTCTCTCTCTCTCTCTCTCTCTCTCTCTCTCTCTCTCTCTCTCTCTCTCTCTCTGCACCGTTGCGTCCAGGGGGTCTTGACTCAGCAAGGCAACGAAAAAGGTGCCCACTGATATTTAAGGGATTCCGCTCTGAAAACCCGGCTGGTTGCGCGACTCGACGGCTTGCGCTTCGCTGAAAGTCGCCCCGGAGCCTGGCAAGAATCTCTTCCGCCAAACGCGCTGCAGCACAGGCAGCGTGTCCGCCGCGCCCACGAAGCCCAGTAGGCAGCCGGAGCGAGAGCCGACTCCGAGCCCGGGAGGGGACCGGTGCTCAATAGATCTGTAACACACGCCGCGATGACAGCATCATGGGATTCGGCAAAAGCCAGCGAGGCCTCGGGCGGCAGCGCGCAAAACATGGCTGCACCGGGGCGAGGCGCAAAACAAAAGCAGCGACTGCAAGTCAGGCATCGGATGCCTTGCGGGAGCTGATCCTGCTTGGCCCGCCGTGAGCTGGAGCTGCGTGGCCACGAAAGCGGGACTGCCGCAGGGGACGCCGAGGACAACGTGCGCGGTCTCCGCGAAACGCTAGGCAGCCACAGTCGGGCCTTGCCGCGGCGGAGCCGGATGTGCAAGTGCAAGGAGATGCGATGACATAAATGTCATCGAGGCCAACAGGAGCTTGTCTGGTCGGAGGTGGCGCTGCACCTCGGCGAGGGCCGGTGCTGACCCAAGGCAGATCCTTCTGCTTGGAAGACCTCATGGGCTTGCCCGCCAGGAAGGGGCAGCGTAAAACTGGCGCACACGCAAGCGTTGGGACAGTGCCTGCAACATGGCTTGGCCCGTTGGCTCCGCTTACGCCAGCTA